ATCGTCTGGCACTCCCCAGTGAGATGAACCCAGTACCTCAGTTGAAAATGCAGAAATCACCGGTCTTTTGTGTCGCTCGCGCTGGGAGTTGGAGACTGGAGCTGTTCCTATTCGGCCATCTTGCTCCGCCCCCCTCTTTTTTCTTTTTTTTGAGACGGAGTCTCATTCTGTCACCCAGGCTGGAGTGCACTGGCACAATCTTGGCTCACTGCAAGCTCCACCTCCCGGGTTCAAGTGAATCTCCTGCCTCAGTCTCCCAAGTAGCTGGGATTACAGGTATGTGCCACCATGCTGGGCTAATTTTTGTATTTTTTAGTAGAGATGGGGTTTTGCCATTTGGCCAGGCTGGTCTCAAAGTCCTGACCTCAGGTGATCCACCCACCTTGGCCTTCCAAAGTGCTGGGATTACAGGTGTGAGCCACAGTGCCCAGCCTTTTTTCCTATTTTGAAATATTCTTTAGAATAAAAATATGCTATTTTTTCAATTAAAACAGTCTACCCACTGTTGAACATCTGTGCACCCTCATCATTGCTGCCTCTCAACACAGCTCCTGGGAATTTTTTCCCTGGTGCTCAACAGAAGCTGAGGCCAACATGTGCCTGCAGTCAAGTCAGGAGGGCAACATAAGGGATAAGAGCAAGCACCTAGGCCTCACTATGCAAGCCAGGAACTGCAGCTGCAAGGCTAAGTGTCACTCTAGGGCGGGAAAGCAGTATTTAAAACAAGGCTGTCGAGTTAGAAATAGTCTTCCAGACATATCCTGTGGTGGAAACAGAAATTGGTGTAATTTTTCTGGAGGTAATTTAACATTATGTATTATGACTTTAAAAATGCTCCCACCCTTTGGCCCTAAAATACCACTCTTGGGTATTTATCCTAAAGAAGTAATTATGGCTACAAGCAGGGTGAATGCATCCAGCTGTATTAGTATCAGTGGGAAAATGGAAAACAATCTAAAAATCCATTATCAGTTAAATAAATTGTGGTAGATCCATATAATGTCACATTATATAGTATTAAAAGTGACATATAGAAGAATATTTAATGATCTGTCAATATATACATCTTCCAAACAACATAAACAGGTTGATCTCATTTTTGTTAAAAGTTTTTTATATATACATATATAAAATATTATATACTACTTATTACACATGTACAGACACACACAGAACTTGAACACAGCACAGTGTTCGTGGTTCTTGTCTCTAGGTGGGCAGTGAAAAGACAAAAGTCCCTGCCCTCATGAAGGTTACCTTCATAGTTTCTTAACCTCTCTTTCCCCCGATTTTCCCATCTGTAACATGGGAATAAAAGAATTCTTACTTCAGATGGTTGAGTGAAGATTACAAAGATTAAAATACATAAAGTGTTTAGAAGAGTACAAGACATACAATAAGCATAATAAATGTTAAATGTAAATATTTAAATTTATTTTATCTGCACTTTGTAAATTTTCAATAATGAAAATTACTGTTGTGAATTAGAAAAAAAAAAAAAAAAAGGAAGAAATCCCTAAAGCCCCAGATCAAGGACCTTGGTAACTCAGCAGCCTGTCCCTGCCACCCTCATCCTAAGCGGAGAGGTGCCACAGTGTCCTCAGGTTTACATCCAGGGAAGGTAACCGAGACAGGAGGAGACAGAACTTTTCCCCCAGGAGTTGTGCCTGCCACATTCCTTATGGAAGCAGCCACTGTGACTTTGTAAACAAGCCCAGCTCTTCAAAAGCCCCAAGGCATCACAGGGAGCTAGCCACCTAGATGAGATAATTATTCCCTCTGACCTAGTAATCCATCTCAGTTCTGGAAATCTGTCTAAGGGGAGTAATTCAAGAGAAGCAAAAAGAGGCACAAGCTAAGACATTCAGTTTGGTGCTATCTGATATTAGAAATAGTTAGGGAAACACCCTAAAAGGATAGGCATCAACATCAACCTAGGATTTAAGTTAACTATGGGATATCTACCCTATGAAATAGAAACAACTATCAAAAATTTTAACTACAAAGACCATGAGGGAATGTAGAAAATACGTGTGATGTAAGATCAAGAGAAAAATAACAAAACACAAAAGTGTATTATGACTTGGGCCGGGTACAGTGGCTCATGCCTGTAATCCTGGCACTTTGGGAGGCCGAGGCGGGTGGATCACCTGAGGTCAGGACTTTGAGACCAGCCTGACCATGGCGAATTCCCATCTCTACTAAAAATACAAAAATTAGGTGGCCGTAGTGGGGCACCCCTGTAATCCCAGCTACTAAGGAGGTTGAGGCAGGAGAATTGCTTGAACCCGGGAGGCAGAGGTTGCAGTGAGCCGAGATCGTGCCACTTCACTTCAGCCTGGGCAACACAGCAAGACTCTGTCTCAAAAAAAAAAAAAAAGTGTATATGACCTGACCAAGCAAAATGATGCAGTGATGTAACTAGTAACAAATGAAACAAGTGAAATGAAACAAACAAATGAAAACAGTTAGATTAGCATGGTAATATGAGTGATGATTTTTCTTGCACACATTTCCCTATAAGAAATTAAAGTAAGCATAAACCAAACAAATCATTCAAAGCCGCTGGAGACAATGTTCTTCATGTGGCTTTAAAAGACCCTGTTCTAGGCCAGGTGTGGCGTGGTGGCTCGTGCCTGTAATTCTGGCAATCTGGGAGACCGAGGCGGGTGGATTGCCTGAGCTCAGGAGTTCGAGACCTGCCTGGGCAACATGGTGAAACCCCATAGCTGGCCGGGCGCGGTGGCTCAAGCCTGTAATCCCAGCACTTTGGGAGGCCGAGGCGGGTGGATCACGAGGTCAGGAGATCGAGACCATCCTGGCTAACATGGTGAAACCCCGTCTCTACTAAAAATACAAAAAACTAGCCGGGCGTGGTGGCGGGCGCCTGTAGTCCCAGCTACTCCGGAGGCTGAGGCAGGAGAATGGCGTGAACCTGGGAGGCGGAGCTTGCAGTGAGCCGAGATCGGGCCACTGCACTCCAGCCTGGGTGACACAGCGCGAGACTCCGTCTCAAAAAAAAAAAAAAAAACAAAACAAACAAAAAAAAACCCCATAGCTAGTAAAATACAAAAGAAATTAGCTGAGCATGGTGGCACACGCCTGTAATCCTAGCTACTCGGGAGGCTGAGGCATGAGAATCGCTTGAACCTGGGAGGTGGAGGTTGCAGTGAGCCGAGGTCGCGCCACTGCACTCCAGCCTGGGCAACAGAGAGACTCTCTACAAAAATAATAATAATAATAATAATAACAATAATAATAATAATAATAAAAGACTCTGTTCTTCTATCTCAGCCTTTCCCAGATTGGGTGCCATGATAAGTTAAATGATGTTTGACTTATTTTTTTTTGGAGGGGTACAGGGAGGTGGTCCATATTCAAAGGAGTAAGAGATAGGATCAAACCAAACTAAGCAGCAGTCTTCATTAGAGGACTTCTCTAATGTTTATGACTACTGTGGATTTTTAAAATGCAGACACATTTCTCAAACTAGTCATCAACCTCCCTGCGCTGCCTTGTTCTCCCCCATTGACAATACTAGCATTCCTGGAACACAGGGAAACAGCCCCTCTCCTTGATAGCATCTAGGGCCCAGAGCAGGCCTCCCTCCTCCTGCCCTCAGGTGTCTCCCTCTGCGGGCAGAGAATGCCCTGTGCCCTGTTCCCAGCGTCACACTGCTGTGCAAAGTAGCTCATCACGCTGTGCACAAAAATGTGTAATTATGTTGAGGAGGCACTTGGTGTCTCAGCCCCAATGTCAGATGTTAGAGACCTGCTGGAGAGATTGTGACTGGCAGTTACTGGGTTTCTAACTTTAGAGGTGAAGATGCCTTTTTCTTTCCCAAGTTTGAAAGGTTTTTTCTCTTTTTTTTTTCGTAGGGGGCTGTTGATTTTAAGTTGTATAAGTTAGACGCAATAAAGCATAGTACTTAACCTCTTAATACCTAAAGGCAAAACACAGTCTAATCTAATCTTTTATTAATCTAAGTTCCTATTCTTATCTATTACAATAAACTTTGGAATCCAGTTGTTATTGCTAGATTCACCTAATCCCGATTAATTCTGATAGGGACTCATTAAGTCTGTATTAGACACCAGGCCTTTGAAGCAGCAAATGAACTAATAATTTATAAACTAATAATTATTATAAACTAACAATGTATGCTTTCTGAGGTCTCTGAGCTATGCTAGCTGTAAAAAACTGAATTTTAACATCTTGTTCCAGTGCCTATGATCTCAGCCATATCTTTGCTCTTTCTAGAAAATGAAGGGGGGTTAGAAAGGTGTGGGCTTTGCAATAGACAGAGCTGAATCCTTGCTCCCTGCTTCTCAGCTGTGTGGATGTGGGGACCTCAGCTTTCCAAGCCTCTCCAAGCTGCAGACAACAGCTTTCTCAAAAGGCTGAGCTGGGACTTAGAAGAAAGTAGCTCAGTGAATGAGTTTCCTTCCCTTTGCCATTTCACATGAGGTTTCTATGGAAAGCCTTTTACAGAAGAGGAACGTGAGATTTTGACATTTTGTTATTTTCCCCCAAGGGTACGTACGGAACTTCTTCCAAGTTCTAAGGAAGCGGAGCATCTTGTTCAAAGATAAATGAGTTTGGCGCCCCTGCCCCGAAGCCTGCCAAGCTTATGGATGGCTTCTTGGGGAAGCCCCATGGCAGGGACCACAGGCATTGTTTAATGGTGCCCCTTTCCTTTGTTCAACTCACAATCCACATTCCACTTGATGCTTCTGGGAGGAAGTTTCAGGGTTTCATTGATCTTCTCCAGGACAGTCTGCAGTTTTTGCTTCTGAGCAATCTCTGACTGGGTGACCTCAGCCACATTTAGCTTCTCGCTCTCCAGTTTCTCTGAGGGTGACAAGGGAAAAGAGAACAGCTGTTATGCTGGGCCCCGGACAACCCTACCGCATGCACTTACTCACTTATTCGGTCTCTCATGCACTCATACATGCATGCACTCTCGCAACAATAGATACTGGATGCCTACCAGCAGAGGGACACTGCTGTCCCCTCATCACCTTATGGTGGCACCAGCAGCATCAGTACTGTAAGAGCCTGGTGATCATGACTTGAATCCCCAGATCCCAGGGGCATTTTACCTAGCCTGTCATATTTGAACTCTATCATTCTGGAGTTTTCTCCTTTTCAATTCTACCTTCTCCAGGGACATCTCTGTGCTCCGACTAGAAAACCTTCTCTGTAGAGTGAGTCAAGGCATTTTGTACATTCCTGTAGTACAGTCTGTGTCACATCCAATCATATTTATCTGTTTTAAGTACCTTCTTTCCTTTTAAACCCACCTGGAAGGTAACTTACTTAATGTGTCATATTTAATCAATTCTAAGGCACATATTTTTCACACTTTAACATCCCTAAAGTCAGGTTGTGTCTTACTGGCATCCTACAATGGCTGCCAGCTAGGTGGAAGGTCTAAGAGTTATCATTGTTTCCATAGGCGTGAACTTGCTCATAGCTCTTCATAGTATGATTACTTACATGTCTCAATAAGCCTACATGAGCACCTTCAAAAAGTATAAAATAAAAATCAGCAACAAGAAAGCATTGAGTAATAGCTTAAAGTGATTTTTCACTTTCTGAGTGGTACTTATATAATGGTGTGTTTTAAAATCAATGGTTTTTTTATGCAATGACATAGCACCTTAATACTTAAAGGAAAAACTCAGTCTAATCATTTTATTAATCTAAATTCATATTTTAATCTATTACAAAGAAAAAAACAACTTTGGACTCCTTAACAGGAAATTGGTTGTCTACTACTAGAACTCACCTAATTGGTTCTAATTCATTTAAGATTGACAGAACTGCACACATTTAAAATATCTTTTATAATTTATAAGGGCTGCTATACAAACAAATTAAATTTTACTAAGTATCAATATTTCTCCTAATGCTTACATTATTTATTTTTAAATAACTGTGGTTTATCTAAGCCAATGCCCCTTGAGTCATTCTTTGAAGATAAAGTTGCCCAATGGAGAATTTATGCAGGTTCTGTGGATTTGTGAATTTTTTTTAAGCACCTCAGTAGGATAATCTCAAGCTATTCTTACCTGTGATGGCCTGAAATGTTTTCCTTAGTTGTTTCAAGCCATCTCTATCTCTAAAGTTCAGGGATTTAACAAGAATATATCTAAATGTCTTCTTCTTACATCTTGAAGAGACCTTGTGTGTGCCTTATCCATTTTTAGGCTGAATTCTTATCTTGGATCCTCTCCTACTAAAAAAATGACAAGTTATTTTCTTTCACTTTTTCCCATTATTTTTGGATGATGTAATTGTCTCTATAGAAGCAAATTATTTTAATCTTACTTTGCAACTATAAGCATTGGATAGAGGCTGCCCAAAATGCTAGGTTAAGAACCTTCTGGTCTTGTCTTGGCTCAGAGGAAAAGATTGCAGGCAAAGATTACTGATGACTGTTGTGAGAGAGGGTTGGGTGGGGAGGAGAGGAGTGAGGAGGAGCCATTTATTTGCTAGCTCTGCTGTATTACATCATTGTCTATAAATTTTCATATTTAAAATTTGGCATTGAACAGATTTTCAGCTTAGGTCTCTGAGTTTGTTTTCTAGGTCAATAACTTTTTCTTGCGCAGTTGTCTATTTCATCCTTATTTTTTTAAAAATGGTGTGACATAAGAAATATACATCTTGTCTCCTTGATCCCCCTTCCTAGCACAGAGTTCCTAAAACCCTTGTAACTTTCTGAAAGATGATAGTGGCATCTTTTGTTATAATATTTGGGTTTTGTCCCCAGTTCCTGAAAAAGCTCTAAAATGATTAAGGTAAAAGGAACATCTTTTGTTTTTCATAACACGCCCCTTTCACCTACATCTGAGTTTATGTTAATGAGGCAACTTTTGGAAAGCTCTGAGGATGGGGGAGCTGATTGCCAGGAGAACCAAGCGTATGATTAAAGGATTGGAACATTCAGCCTCATATCCCTGACCCATGAGAAAGGGGAGAGAAGCTGGAGGTCACCTATCAATGGCCAGTGATTTAACCAATTATGCCTACTTAATGACACTTCATAAAAACTCTGGCCGAAAATGTTCAGAGGACTTCCTGGTTGGTAAATATATGAAGGTGCTGGAGGGTTGTGCACATGAGAAGGCATGGAAGCTCTGTGCTTCTCCCACAAACCATGCCCTATGCATCTCTTCCTCTTGGCTGATTTTGAGTTTTATCCTTTATAATAGACTAGTAAACCTAAGTGCCTTCCTGAGTTCTGTGTGCCATTCTAGCAAATAATCATATCTGAGGAAGGGGTTTTGGAACCCCTGATCTATTATAGCTAGTTGGTCAGAAGTACGGGAAGTCTGAACTTGGCGAATGCCAACTGAAGTGGGGACACTCTTGTGGCACTGAGCCCTTAACCTGTGAGGGCTGTGCTAACTTTGGGCCAGTAGTATCAAAATTAAATTGTAGGACACCCTGTTGGTGTCCATAGAGAACTGGAAAATTGCTTAGTGTGGAAAACCCACACATTTGGTGTCAGAAGTGTTAGGAGTTTAGAGAAATGTGTTTTCCATTATTGGATTTCACACCTTACTTACTGAAGCATCCATTGCTTTTCTGTTTCCACTAATATATTTAACTAGTCTATGATACTAAAATTGTAGTGCATTCTTCCTAAAATTAAATTTTTTCCTTTTTTTTTTTTTTTTAGCATCTGGTATTTCTTATTTAGGAGAAGCATTTTTGTGGCTTTGTTTTGCGTTGCAAATGTTTTATGGAATGTAATTCTGCTTTACTTCTTTCCATTTTAGTCATTATGCTTTGGGTTTATCTTCCTGCTTTTAATTTTGGCTGTTGGATATTTTATTGTAGGCATTGATATTGATATTAAGTGGATTTGCATAAAAATATATCTCAAAGTAATCCTTATTGTGTGTATATTAATATTCTCTTTCTCTCCTTTTTATTTTTATTTTTTTTTTTGAGATGGAGTCTTATTCTGTTGCCTAAGCTGGAGTGCACTGGCACAATCTCAGCTTACTGCAACCTCCACGTCCCGGTTTCAAGGTATTCTCCTGTCTCAGCCTCCTGAGTAGCTGGGATTACAGGCATGCGCCAACACGCCCAGCTAATTTTTGTATTTTTAGTAGAGATGGGGTTTCACTATGTTGGTCAGGCTGGTCTCGAACTCCTGGACTCAAGAGATCCACCCACCTCAGCCTCCCAAAGTCCTGGGATTACAGGCATGAGCCACCGCACCCGGACTTCTCTTTCTCTTTTAATAAAAATGAGATTATAGTGTATATATATTTTTGCTATTGGCTTTTTTCCACTCATATATATATCATAAGTCTTTTTAGGTCAATATATGAATATAACTCATTCTTTTTCAAAACTGCATATTGCATTATATGACTTATAACTTGACATACAGCCAGGTTATAACCCACATTTTCCCTATTTGTAATAAAGTCGCAATAAACATCTTGTGTGTGTATGTATTATTAATTGATTACTGCTGGTAAACATGAAAGCTATTGCCTTACAGATTTTTTCCTTGTATGTTGTCATCTTACCAAATCCCTTTATTAGTCCTATTGCGGTTTGAGTCTTCAGCATTCTCTGGGTATGCAAATAAAACACTGTTATCTCTATTTTGCAGACTTATGTGACATATTTTAATTTTCTGACATTTTAAATAAAAGATTACTTTGAGAACTTCTGCTATTCCTACCCCTCCTTTATCTTTAAGGTATTCAACCCTTAACACAAAGAGGCCCACTCAAGTATTTCTATAGCTTAATAGTAATTTACTCAACGTTAGTAAGGATTTAAAGATAATGTTCTTTTGTGGGCTAATTTCAGCTAGTTCCATAAAGTTTTCTATTGCTGAAGTTTTATTCTTCCAGGAAACTGTTTCTCTCATGTTTCCATAGTTACACAAATTGTTCATAACTAATTTAACTCTTCATAAGTATTAGGCATGATTTTGAAATTGATAGGATGTGATTTAGAAAATTTTCTCAGGTGGATTATTTTGTGAATCTTTGAGTTGTTTTTGAAGGTATTACCCAAATTTGCTTTTGGAGAGATTATACATAGAAAACAATGAAACAGTATTCAAAAGTTCTGACGCATACAGACAAGGCAGAATAAACTCAATTACCCTGAATGGTGGGAGAACTGAGATGTTCTAACAAACACAGTTGTCATATATACCACACTACATTAATGTAACCACCCTTCAAGAACTAAAATATGTAAAATACTCTTTCCAGTATGAGCAACTCCTGAGTTGTTTAAAAAATACTTCTGTCTCCAAGTATATTAGGAGAGAAACTTGCACTGTCGTCAGAGAATTTGGTCTGTATACTAATTTGTTGAGGTTTGCTTTATGGACATAGTGAAATTTCGTAAGTGTTCCATGAGCAGTTGAAAAGAATACAGTTTGCAGGGTATCATATGCTACATGCAGATTAGTTAGAGCTGATTGACTGTATTGCTCAAACATTCTCTATGAATTTTTTTCTTAATATGTTATTAAAAGAAATATGTTAAAAACTGCCACTGTGATAGGTTTGTCAAATTCTTGAAGTAATGATTATCATTTTAAATTTGTAAGTATTTGATATACAAAAGTACATGTAAGTTTAAAATTTCTATATTTTCCTAGTGACTTTAATTTCTTATTAATATGTAGTGACTCTCTGCAGTAATGCCTTTTGCCTTAAAGTCTATTTTGTATGATGTAAAATAGTTACCCCAGCTTTAAAAAAATTAGTCCAGTATACATAATTATTTCCACCCTTTTTCTTTCAACCTTTGTGTGTCCCTCATTTATTAAAACTATCTCGGCTGGGCATGGTGGCTCTACCCCTGTAATCCCAGCACTTTGGGAAGCTGAGGCAGGAGGACTGCTTGAGGCCAGGAGTTGGAGACCAGCGTGGGCAACATAGTGAGACCCTGCCTGTACAAAAAATAAGAAACTTAGCTGGGCATGGTGGCACACGCCTGTAGTCCTAGCTACTTGGGGGGCTGAGATGGGAGGATTGCTTTTGAGCATGGGAGGTAGAGGCTACAGTCGGCTGTAATCGTACCACTGCTCTCCAGCCTGGTCAACAGAGCAAGACCCTGTCTCAAAACAAAACAAAACAAAACTATCTCCTGTATATAGTATTTGGCAAGAATTTGTTTTGTTATTTAGTCTGATATTGAGTGTACCAGTATACTTGGATTCACTTCTACCAACTTATTGTGAACTTTCTATTTAGTGGGTTTTCTGATTCTTCTCCCCCTTCCATCCTTGCCTTCTTTGGATTAATGTTTTTATTCTTTCTCATTCCATTTTCTCCCCATGATTAGTAGGGAGGTTATATACTCTGTCTCTATTATTTCAGTATTTATGATAGAAAATTCATCATTCATATTTAACTTAATAAAATCTTAAGCTAATTAGTATCTTTACCCATATGCTAAACAATACAAAGACCTCAGCATGCTTTGACTTCAATCACATAATTCCTGATTTATGTGCTGTAGTTATATGGGATTCTGATTCTATCTTGTTTTAATTAACAAATTAGATATTATTGTGATTATTCTATATTTATTTAGTTATGGCTTTGATCTACCTACCATGATAATCTTTGTTCACTATTGTAGATATTTTTGGGGGGTTCATTTTCCTTCCTATTGTACATTCTTTAGAAATTCCTTTGCGGGGGTCTATTGGTAGTAAACCTTCTCAGTTTGTGTTTATTGAAAATGCCTTTATTTTCTCTCTCTCTTTTTTTTTTAGACATAGTCTCACTCTGTCACCCAGGCTGCAGTGCAGTGGCTCGATCTTGGCTCACTGCAACCTCCACCTCCTGGGTTCAAGCGATTCTCCTGCCTCAGCCTCCCAAGGTGCATGCCACTACTGCCTGGCTAAATTTTGTATTTTTAGTAGAAATCGGGTTTCACTATGTTGATCAGGCTATTCTTGAACTCCTGAGCTCAGGGGATCCATTCGTCTCAGCCTCCCAAAGTGCTGGGATTACAGGCATGAGTTACTGAGCCCGGCCTCTCCTAACTTTTTATCTTTTTATTTTATTTTTTATACTGAGTCCCACTCTGTCACCCAGGCTGGAGTACAGTGGCGCAATCTCGGCTCACTGTAAGCTCTGCCTCCCGGGTTCATGCCATTCTCCTGCCTCAATCTCTCGAGTAGCTGGGACTAGAGGTGCCCGCCACCACGCCCAGCTAATTTTTCGTATTTTTAGTAGAGACAGGGTTTCACCATGTTAGCCAGGATGGTCTCGATCTCCTGACCTCGTGATCTGCCCGCCTTGGCCTCCCAAAGTGCTGGGATTATAGGCGTGAGCCACCATGCCAGGCAGCCTCTCCTAACTTTTTAAAGCCACCTCTCTTAACTTTAACAGTTTTTTTTTTTGGCTGTGTATGAATTTATAAGTTGATCATTTTTGTCAGCACTTTAAAGACATCAAAGTGTTTTGATATCTTCAATATTAATATCTTTTGGCTTTTTTTGTTCCTTGTGAAAGACAGCTTTCAGTCTGTTGTTCCTTTATAAATAATCTATTTTTTTTCCTCTATGCTTTTAATCATCTGTCTTCAGTGTTCTTAGGTTTCACTGCAAAGTGTGTAGGTGTAGATTTGTCACTACTTATCCTATTTGGGATTCACTGAGCTCCCTGAATCTGAGGATTCATGTCTTTCATCAATTCTAGAAAATTCTCATTCATTATGTTTTCTTTAAATATTTACTATACTCCATTTTCTTTTCTTCTAGAATTCCAATTAGCTATGTATGTTAGATCTACTTAGAATAACCTCTATGTTTTTGAATTCTCTTTCTCATTTTCTATTCTGTTGTCTCTCTATACTGGATTCTGGGTAATTTCTCCAGTGTTCTCTTCTGGTTCATTACTTCCTTCTTTAGCTGTGTCTAATCCACTGAGGTTCCTAGTTTCATTATTATTCACACTTTTTCATTTCTAGAAGTTCTGTTTGGTTGTTTTTCATGTCTACCTGTCCAGTCTTAATAGTTTCTTGTTCTTTTATCATTTTCAAGTCTTTAAAAACATTTATTTTGGCATATTAAATATACTCATTTTATATTCTATAACTGAATACTTTTTTTCTTTTTCTTTTTTTTAAATAGAGATGGGGTCTCACTATATTGCCCATGCTAGTCTCGAACTCCTGGGCTCAAGCAGTCCTCCCACCTTGGCTTCCCAAAGTGCTGCAGTTACAGGTATGAGCCACCATGCCCAGTCTATAGCTTAACAGTTTCTAATATTTATAGTATTTGTGGGATGAATCTATAGAATATTGTTTCTGTTGACAGTGCTTATGGTGGCTTATGCTCATGTCTTTGGTGATTTCTAATTTTGAGGTCATATTCCTTGGAATTTGTGGTTTGGGCTTAGAGTTCCTTCCTCTTTAAAAGAAGGACATATGTTTGCTTCTGCCATGGGGCACTAGTGACCTGGGACAACTTGTAACCAAAATTTCAATTTAGATTTTTTAAAGTCACAAAAGTAGTGTGAATCCTAGCCTTAAATCTGTGTGAGTATAGACTTTTGATGAGGAGTTATCTGAAGCAGACTTCTTTTTAGTTGTTCTATTCACATCCAAGGCTAAGATATCCTTATTGCCTCTTTCTGTGGGACAACTTTTGCACTCATTGAAAGAGTTGCCCTTCCAAGACCATAGCTCTATTCAGGGGGCTTGAATCCAACCGTTTCTTGTTCAGACTCTACCCAAGACTTGTCTCCTGACCCTGTATGTGTGACCCTTTAAACTTCAGGCTATAGGTCATTAGGAATGATAGGTTATTAGGAATTAGCACGTATCCCACTAGATTTATCCTTCCTTCTTGTTTTGGGAATCAGAAGAATTTCCTTCCTTTTCACACCAGTTTAGCCATCCCATACAAAAATATGTTATTAAAGGCTTATTCAGATTTTTTAAGTGTGCTATACCAATAAGATTTATCTGAACATCTAGTCAGCCATAATGCTAAAAATGAAAATTGAATTTCTTACTATATTAACTAAGACCTCTAAAACACTTATAATAGTTGTAATAGCCATTATTTCTCGTTTGTCCCTAATACCACATCTTTGATATTTCACTATTTAATATGTTCAGTTAGGTTTTATTTAGTGGTCTTTATCATATTTAAGTAGTTTCCTCTTTCTATTTTACTTGAAATGGCTGTTGAAGTATATCAAATGTTATTTGGTATCTACTGATATGTTAATTCAGTTTTGCTCTTGAAATTTACATATGCACTCAACCACTTTCAAAAAGACTGATAATATATAAACAGAGAAAATTCAAGCTGTGAAAACTGTCTCCTCTCCATGGCAGTCCCAAGTTCCCTAGTCCCATTCCATAGAGACTATTACCAGAAATATTCAATGCACACACAAACATTGTATGTGTCCCTTGACACACACACATAGTCATTCTCTACCATGCTTTTTTCTACGTAGTAAGACATTTGAGAGCTTCTCTATTATTTATAAAGAAAAATAATAAAAAAAACTTTCATCTAGCTTTTGAGTTTCTGAGATGAGAAAATGCCTCTTTCAGTTTAAGAATAGCAGCATATGGGCTGCGTCGGGCTGCAGGAGAAGATGGTGGTCTCCACAGGAGTTAAAGTTCCTCGTAATTTTCGCTTGTTGGAAGAACTTGAAGAAGGACAAAAAAGAGTAGGCAATGGTACGGTTAGCTGGGGCCTTGAAGATGATGAAGATATGACACTTACAAGGTGGACAGGCATGATTATTGGGCCACCAAGGACAAATTATGAAAACAGAATATATAGCCTGAAAGTAGAATGGGGACCTAAATACCCAGAAGCTCCTCCTTCAGTTAGATTTGTAACAAAAATTAATATGAATGGAATAAATAATTCCAGTGGGATGGTGGATGCCCGGAGCATACCAGTGTTAGCAAAATGGCAAAATTCATATAGCATTAAAGTTGTACTTCAAGAGCTAAGATGTCTAATGATGTCCAAAGAAAATATGAAGCTCCCACAGCCACCAGAAGGACAAACATACAACAATTAATTTTAGTGGATCTCAAACTTGTCTTAAATCAACAATCTTCTACTCATGTTAATGTTTTGATTCAATATCACAATGAAAAATACCCACACATTAAGTAAAAGAATTCCAGCTGGTAAACATGACCTGGACATCTGTAAGAATATATTTAATACATGTACACCCATTATGTTTTCAGGTAACAGGAGGAAAAATGCAGCACAATTTTTTTTCTCTTGTTAAGGCACTGTCATTTAAACATAAACCTGGAGTACTCGAAATATAATTCAGGTTTACAAGATGAAAGCGTGTGGAGAAGTGTCAGATGGCAGTGGAAGCATGTGTGTTTCTAAAAAGTGAAAATCTCAAGAAAGAAAACAGAAATGGCATGCTTTACCCATCTTGCTTAGTGAAAGAGAGCTGCAGTTGAAATTGTTTAAAAACTAGCAGGTACAACGAATATTGTCACAGATGTGTTAATTTTTGAAGCGGTGTGGGTGTTGACTACTAGTAGTATCAAAAATATGTTCAGGATTGTTTTGATACCTGTATTTATAATAAAAAATGTTGGGGGGAGTTGATGAATTTCTGTTAAAAGCTGTTCTTGTGTGTTACATGTAACAGACATGGTAAATATTTGTTTACAGTCTTTGTTTAACCATGCATTTAAGTGAAGTCAACAAAAAGGAAATAGGTGTATGGATATGTGATTTTGAGATTAAAGTTAGTCTTAAAATGTAAATAAAATGTGGAATGTGTCCTCAGAGACTGTGCCATTTCTATTATGTTGATGTAATATATGTACAGTACCTTGCTAGGGAAGCAAAAATTGGAATTATGTAGCTTTTCCTGTATGTACACTTTTATTTACCCTACTTTGTGTACTTCTTGTGAATTATAATTTGCAGACTATTTCAGAAAAGCAATTATCTAGTTTAATTTCTTCTTTGGACAAGGAGGAGTCCTAAGTATTATATTTTGAGTTTGATTTCACCAGAAATAATATTATTAAAAAGATATTTGCATTCTGGCAATTCTTTTAGGATTATAGGTTGCAAATTATCCAAATACATATCCCATTTTTTAAATCATAAAAAAAAAAGAATAGCAGCATATATCAACAATCCTAAAATCAGACTATTATAGGAGGAGGATCTTCAAGCAGTGCTATTCAACAGAACGTTCTGCTATGACGTCAATGTTCATTTTTTAATTATCCAATATGGTAGCTACTAGCTACATTTGGCTATTGAGCACTTGATATCTAGCTGGTGTAACTGAGAAATCAATGTTCCATTTTAATTGCTTTTAACAGCTGCATGTGGCTATTGGTTGCTGAACTGGATAGCTCAGCCATAGAGGTTTGTAAAGCCACCTTCCTGACTTTACAGGAGAATGATCGGAGTAGCAGAAGTATGTTTTAGTGGTGAAACCAAGATTGGAACTGAGATCTCCTGTTTCTTCATTCCTGCTTCAATTTTAGCATAGCGGCCACTTCAGCCCAGCATTTTGGTCACATAGAAAAGTGACCCTCAAAGTAAACAAGATCAAACTCTTCAAGATGCACCTCCTCCTGGGGTTCATGGAGTCATCCCCATTCAACATCCACCACATAGAATCAGCCTGGTTTACTCTGGCTACTCATTCCCTACATCTCTAGGTCCTCTTCAAGCTTTTCCCCATCCAAACTGTCACTCCTCTAGTTTGACACTATCCTTTTCTCATGAGGAGATGCTCTGCTAGAGTTCCTTCCACTGTCTCTGAGCAACCCCCATACTGCTCCTATGTTATTTCCTAAAGCCCCATTTCTGATTGTGTTGTTTTGCTCATAAGCCATCACTAGTTGCCACTACTCAAACAATACAGTCTAAAACTCTTAGTTCACGGTCCTCTAATGTGAGCTTCATCTTCTTCCTTTATTTTATTTATTGTTTTGAGACACAGTCTCACTTTGTCTTCCAGGCCGGAATGCAGTGGTGCGATCTCAGCTCACTGCAACCTCTGCCTCCTGGGCTCAAGTGATCCTCCTGCCTGAGTCACCTGAGTAGCTGGGATTATAGGCGCCCACCACCACGCCCCACTAATTTTTGTATTTTTAGTAGAAATGAGGTTTCATCGTGTTGGCCAGGCTGATCTTGAATTTCTGGCCTCAAGTGATCTGCCTGCCTCGGCCTCCTGAAGTGCTAGGATTACAGGCATGAGCCACCGCAACCAGCCTCTATTTATTTTATTTTTATTTTTATCTTTGAGACAGAGTTTCGCTCTTGTTGCCCAGGCTGGAGTCCAATGGTGCGATTTTGGCTCACTGCAATGTCTGCCTCCCGGATTCAAGCGATTCTCCTGCCTCAGCCTCCCAAGTAGCTGGGATTACAGGTATGCGCCACCATGCCTGGCTAATTTTGTATTTTTAGTAGCGATAAGGTTTCTCCATGTTAGTCAGGCTGGTCCTGAACTCCCGACCTCAGGTGATCCACCCACCTCAGCCTCCCAAAGTGCTGGGATTACAGGTGTGAGCCACAGTGCCGGGCCCTTTATTTTAAATAGACTTTTCATTTTAGAATGGTTTTTAGATTTATATAAAAGTCACAAACAGTACAGACAGTTCCTATGCACTCCGAACTCAGTTTCCCCTCCTACTGTTAACATCTCACATTACTATGGTACATATGTCACAGCTATTTATGTATGACATTAGTACATGACTGTTAACCCCGTATCTTATCTGGATTCACTAGGTTTTTTCTAATGCCCTTTTTCTGTTTCAGGAAACAGTCTAGGATACCACTTCTTCTCTTCATGTCTCCTTAGCCTCCTCTGTTCTGTGATGGTTTTTCACACTTTCCTTGTTTTCACCATGACCTTGACAATTTTGAGAAGGGATGGTCGGGACTGCTTGGTTGTTCCTACATTTTTCCCACGGGTAGGCCGGGGAGGAAGACCACAGAAGTGAAGTAACCTTTATTTATATCCTCCCCCTACCCTATCCCCACTTCCACACCCTAATCACGGGAAGCCTGTCACTAAAATCAGCCACTCAAGGATTTGTGGAATTAATTGCCACCTTTTTTGAAGGGGTTGTATCTACATAAAGTATTTGAAATTCTATAAGGAAGAGTTGTCTTTTTGTTCCCGTTTATTTGTTCAGTTATTTATATCAGTATCAATTTAAGGATATTTATATTAGACTTTGGATTATAATCCAATACTACTATTATTAATTTTCCCCCAAATAATTCCAGCTTTAGCCACTGGGAGCTCCCTCAGGTTGGTTTTGGACATTTTCAATGTGTGGCTGCGTGTATATATATTTTTTCTTAGCACTTCTTTTTGGCACTGCAAGATGCTCTAGGCTCATCTATATTCCCTGCCCCAGGTCTAAAATAAGGCATTTCTCCAAGAAGTCCTGGTTTATCCTGTTGGAAAATGGTGCTAAAAACCACCACCTGGGAGCTGGGTCTCATTTTCTTTGTTAGCCTCATATCCCAGTCATCCAACCCTGATGGTCACCTACCCACTGGCTCCTGGACGCTACAGCATTTTCCCTCCATTAGCACCAAAATTAACAGAGGCTTCCTGGAAACTCTTTTGTTGTCTTGGCTAAAGTGCCCTTTCTCCTTCATTATATGTTTGAGATCTTTTTCTGTAAGGCCCCATTCAAAATGCCCCCTCTGGCTGGGTGAGGTGGCTCATGCCTTTAATCCCAACACTTTGGGAGGCCAAGGTGGGTGAATCATTTGAGCCCAGTAGTTTGAGACCAGCTTGGGAAACATGGTGAAATTCCATCGCTATAAAACATACAAAAATTAGTTGGGTGTGGTGGTGCACACCTGTGATCGCAGCTACCTGGGAGGCTGAGATGGGAAGATCTCCTGAGCCCGGGGAGGGCGACACTGCAGTGAACTATGACTGTGCCACTACACTCCAGCCTGGGCGACAGAGTGAGGCCCTATCTCCAAAAAAAAAAAAAGTAACAAAAATAAAACACCAAAATACCCCCTCTTCCCTGAAACCTTTCCCAAAACCTTTCCCAAACTCCTACTTGATCTCTTACAGACCTGTATACTACCAGGCTGTGAGTTTCCAGAACTCACAATTTTCAAAATGCCCCCTCTGGCTGGGTGAGGTCGCTCACACCTTTAATCCCAACAGAGGACAGCAATATGACACATTTACTTTTATATCCCTAAACTCAGCAGTTAGCATATAGCACACCAAATGGTTTTTGCCTAGTGGATATTATTATCAGACTAGATTAAGATCAGTGTAAATTGCACCCTTTAGGGTCTATCAGGGAAAAAGAAAACCACACACACAAAACAAAACAAAACAAAACAAAACAAAACAAAACAAAACAAAACCATCCTCCTGTAGAACTTTATTGCCACAGGCAACCTTTTGGTCTCAAGCCTGAAGAATGATACCTGTTTCAGTCACATGTTATTGTGAAAACCAGAAGGAAGAGCCCTGGAACCTTATGACTCTCATCCCTGAATATAGGCCTTTTCTGTTCCCAGCACATGTACCTGTTCAAAGATAAGGATCAGTCAAATGAAACATACCATAAGGAAATTCACATAGACATCCCAAGCCAGGAAACCTCAATAAGAAACAGGCAGTGGGCCATGTTCAAATGAAATGATGAATTATGTTGTGTAGGCATCGTCCTGGAATCGCTTATCCCATCTCTCACTCAGTCATACCTACTGCCTAAGTGTTGTGAATGTAAATATAACCAGGTGACCGTGGACATACCCGCATAATTGAGGCATTGGGAAATGTGTCCCAACTTTGGATGATTCTGTGACTTTTTTTTTTTTTTTTTTTCTTATTATTATACTTTAAGTTGTAGGGTACATGTGCATAACGTGTAGGTTTGTTACATATGTATACTTGTGCCATGTTGCTGTGCTGCACCCATCAACTCGTCATTTACATCAGGTATAACTCCCAATGCAGTCCCTCCCCCCTCCCCCCTCCCCATGATAGGCCCCGGTGTGTGATGTTCCCCTTCCTGAGTCCAAGTGATCTCATTGTTCAGTTCCCACCTATGAGTGAGAACATGCGGTGTTTGGTTTTCTGTTCTTGTGATAGTTTGCTAAGAATGATGGTTTCCAGCTGCATCCATGTCCCTACAAAGGACACAAACTCATCCTTTTTTATGGCTGCATAGACTTTCTTATTGATGCCATGGAGTAAGAGAATATTCTGGGAAACCTAAGGCTCTTTCCTCTATCAATCACCCTGGAAGGGGGTAATCCTGGTCAAGAAATGAGGTGTTTTGGCTGGGGTAGGAAGGAACTTCCTCCTCATTCTGGGGTTGGGAAACCTTTGCTCTGAAGTTTGGAAAGGGCTGGGGCTGCTCCCGTGAGAGGACAAAGTGTATGTCATGAAGAAGCAGGCCAGCGTTGCCAGCGGCTACTATTTTCTTGGTAGCAACACCAATAGTGCAGAGAAGTGGCCAGTGTCCCCACAGCAGAGTTACTGTCCCTGTGGTCTCTCTGGATGATGGCGATGCCCCTTCCCCGAGCTCCCTGGCCCACCTGCATTCATCTGCAGCTGCAGACAGCTCCTAGCACATTGATGGCCATCTCTGGCCTCTTCTTGTAACCACAGAAACACAACCTGGAAGTTTTTATTTCCTGCACAGGCAACCCTCGACCACAGGGGGAAAGGAGCCATAGGATAAATGCCCTTGTTACCTTGCACTGGGAAGGGTGATTCTGAGATGTGTTGTTACGTGGTTTCTCAGAGGGCCCAGCTATGAGCCCTGGTTGAAATAGGGCTGCTGTTCTGATTAACATACTCATGTTTGGCACTTTTCTCTTCCCCTCTTACATGCCCTACTCAGTTATTTGTACGTTTTAAGGTTACCTCCCATATAAGCTTCCTCCACCCATGTCCTTGTCTCAGCATCTGCTTTGGGAAAACCTAAACTAAGATCTGATGCCAGGGCAAGTGGGAAGACCCAGGGAATATAGGCAGCAATGGGGCAGCTGGGTTGGGCAGCTAAGAAAGAAGGACTAGGGAGAGGCTCTTCTGATAGAATCTACCAGAAATGCCTGGGGCCTCTGAGAAGGGTGATTTTCCTGCAAGGAAGGCAGACACTGCTGTGAGCAAGGGGCATGTGGCCACACAGAGGTGAGCCAGGTATGCTGTTGCTCCCCATTGAGCTCATAATTGGAGAACACCCAGCCAGTCCTTGCCAGCCAAGGTCACATGGAATCTCAAGGATGCTCACCTGTTCAGGCTTTCACCACAGCAATGAAACATATACAACCCTCTATCAGGAGGTCCCTGCCTAATATGGTTTGGCTGTTTCCTCACTCAAAACTCACCTTGAATTTTAATAATCCCCATGTATCAAGGTGGACATAACTGAATCATGGGGTAGTGAATAAGTCTCACAATATCTGATGGTTTTATAAATGGGAGTTCCCCTGCACATGCTTTTTTGCCTGCCATCATGTAAGACGTGACTTTGTTCTTCATTCGCCTTCAGCCTTGATTGTGAGGCCTCACCAGCCACGTGGAACTCTGAGTCAATTAAACCTCTTTCCTTTTTTTTTTTTTTTTTGAGATGGAGTCTTGCTCTGTCACCCAGGTTGGAGTGCAATGGTGCGATCTCAGCTAACTGCAACCTCTGCCTCCTGGGTTCAAGCGATTCTCCTGCCTCAGCCTCCCGAGTAGCTGGGATTACAGGTGCCTGCTACCATGCCTGGCTAATTTTTGTATTTTTAGTAGAGATCGGGGTTTCACCATGTTGGTCAGGCTGGTCTCAAATTCCTGACCTTGTGATCCGCCTGCCTCGGCCTCCCAAAGTGTTGGGATTACAGGCGTGAGCCACTGCACCCGGTCCGCTTTCCTTTTTAAATTACCCAGTCTCGGGTATGTCTTTATGAGCCGCGTGAGAACAGACTAATACACTGCTACACCTTCTCACACACTTCTGCCTCTAGGTTCTGGGTCTTTGTTCCACAATGTAATCAACATGGCTTCCTGGATTCCATGTCCTTTTCTTTTTCTTTTTTTTTTGAGACAGTTTCGCTCTTGTTGCCCAGGCTGGAGTGCAATGGCATGATCTCGGCTCACTGCAACTTCTGCCTCCTGGGTTCAAGTGATTCTCCTGCCTCAGCCTCCCAAGTAGGATGCACCACCATGCCTGGCTAATTGTATTTAGAAGAGATGGGGTTTCACTGTGTTGGTCAGGCTGGTCTTGAACTCCTGACCTCAGGTGATCCACCCACCTCGGACTCCCAAAGTGCATGGACTACAGGTGTGAACCACCATGCCTGGCCCCATATCCTTTTCTTGATGTCAGTGTGTGTGCTCCTGGGCTACCAGAGGCCCCTATGCCATTTCCATAATCTTCTAAGTGCTAGTGTTTCATAGTTACTTTACTAATCTCAAACTCAGACCCTGCCAGCTCGCTGCCCAACCAACTCAGTATTAAGGAAGCTCAAGCCCCAGTATGATTAGAAACTGGATTTCTGGGAACAATCATGCCTGGTTAACACCACCATGTAAGGGTACTGTACCTAGGTACAGAGGTTTGGTTATTTATGCTGCAGACAACAAGTTAAAAACATCCACTAATATGCCCAAATCTTGATATCTAAATTCCATTCTCCAATAAAATAAATCAGGGCTTGTTGGAAAAGTGATTGATTTCAGGACTGGAGTAAGAAAAATATAAGATGGTCTTGGAGTATCTTATGATGTGAGAAACAAAGGAAATGCTCAAAAAAAAAAAATATATATATATATATATATAGGCAGCTTGTTGAAAGTGTCCAGGAGGCAACCTGAAAGAGCTCCCAATGGCCAAAGCTGGAAGCCAATGAGCAAAAAAGTGAACGATAAAGTAGTACTGGATTAAACCCAAAGTATAAAATAAATATGTCCACAGTGATATAAATAAATAGAAATGACAACTCTTCCTTTTAGAATTCCAGTTAATAAATGCAGAAGGAATACAGAGAAGAGACCATCTCTGCTAGAACACTACCATAATAATTGCAGCAGATGCATTCTAAATGGATGCTAAAACTAGAGGGAGAAGTTTAAGGAGAACAGGATATTTACATAGTCTCAAAGTATCTCTCCCCACATAAATTAATTAAAAAGAGAAAAACAGTCACTTTATAATGAAGAAATCTGGCAGTATGATACCACCTTGACAATGTGATTGAGGTTAACATGACCAGTGACAGGAAAAATAGCTAGAGGGGAACGTAAGGTCAGAGTGCTCACTCGAAACTCTGCCTCCTTTATACTCACAGGGTCATTAAAAAAAGAAAACAAACCAAAACATTCCCCCTAATCTCTGCTTTCAGACTGATCCCTCCCAGGAGCTCCTGACGCGCATATATATATGTGTGTGTGTGTGTGTGTGTGTGTGTATATGTGTGTGTGTGTATATATATTTGTGTGTGTGTGTGTGTGTGTATATATATATATATATATTTTTTTTACTACACACTGGCTCACTCCACCTGGTTATCCTACCTGTAGGCTTTGAATGTGTATGCCCTGCCTTAGACCTTTGAGATTAGGGTCTAAACTTAAGTTCACAAAAGAAGCATCACCTCCACAGTGAATCACCTTTTCAGCATGAAGGGTGAGATCTGAAATGATCTAATCTGCTTGTATGTAATGCCTGATTTGGGTTGCACAGATGTGACGCTGGATGGTTTTGTAACCATTCCTGGAAGCAAGATTCCTTCACGACCATGTTCCATTACTCTGTGGCCATGTTCTACCTTGCTTGCTCTGACAGCCTAGCATAGAACATTTTGGCAGTTTCAGATCCTGAGTAGATGTCTGCTGGAGGAGTTAAAAGCTGTAGTCACTGGGAGAGATGCGTAGTGAGGTTCCCGGCTTAGCCATGTCTTCATGTGCCAAAGCTTTTTCATTTCCTCTCTGTATTCAGTTGCAGTTTATACGCCCTTAAATATTAACACCATTAATACTGATGTCTGAGAACCAAATCAGTTTAACTTCCTAGAAACTGCATTAGCCATTCATTCGTTCATTCATTCAATACACATTTTTTTTTTTTTTTTTTTGAGAGGGAGTCTTGGTCTGTCCCCTATGCTAGAGTGCAATGGCATGATCTCGGCTCTATGCAACCTCCGCCTCCCAGGTTCAAGCGATTCTCCTGACTCAGCCTCCCAAGTAGCTGGGACTACAGGCGCCTGCCACCACGCCCGGCTACTTTTTGTATTTTTAGTAGAGATGGGGTTTCACCATGTTGGCCAGGCTGGTCTTGAACTCTTGACCTCAGGTGATCTGCCTGCCTAGGCCTCCCAACATACAGGGATTATAGGCGTGAGCCACCATGGCTGGCCTCAATATACATTAAGTGCTAGGCAACATGTGCTAGACAATCTGATGGTGCTGAAGAAGTCTGGATAAATACATAGGACATGGCTCGTGCCTTGGGGAAGCCTATGCACATTTACCTAAACAGCCACAGATGACATGGAAAGTCTTAGGTATGTATATATACTCACGTGTATGTATATACACATTTGTATGTATATACACAGGTATATACCTGTATTTATATACACACAAATACAGGTATATACAGGTATGTATATACACATTTGTATGTATATACACAGGTATATACCTGTATTTATATACACACAAATACAGGTATATACAGGTATGTATATACACATTTGTATATATCTACACACATATATGCATATATGTGCAAGTGTATATACAGTCCCTCAGAGAGAGATACATATATGTGTGTGTAGGGGGGGAACATAAAAAAAAGAGTATATGACTACCTTTTCTAAATGTGACTATAGGGCCAGGCGTGGTGGCTCCCTACTGTAATCCCAGTAAGTACTTCAGGAGGCTGAGGCAGGCTGCTTGAGCCCAGGAGTTTGAGACCTGCCTGGGCAACATGGCAAAACCCTGTCTCCACAAAAAACACAAAAATTAGCTGGGCATGATGGTGCATGCCCTGTAGTCCCAGCTACTCAGGAGGCTGAGGCAGGAGGGTCACTCGAACCCTGGAGGTCAAGGCTGCAATGAGCCAAGATCATGCCACTGCATTCCAGCCTGGGTGACAGCGAGAACCTGCCTCAAAAAAAAAAAAAAAAAAAAAAGTGACAGTACTGTAAAGGCTGTAATAGGGAGACACATTTGATTAATTCTAGAGATCAGAAAGATGAGCAATAATGGTTTGCCCTGGTGGGTAAAGGAGGAAGGCAGGCCTTAGAGGCAGAAGGACTAGTATGAGCAAAAGTATAGGCATGTTAATATGTGTGGCATATGTAAAAATGTAGCAATGGTATACAAAAAAATAGTAAAACCAATGATGACATTTATCGAGCATCTGCTATGTGTCAGGCACTATCCTAAGCACTTTACACGCATTACCACATGGATGAGCCACATGTGTGGGAGTGGCCGGAGGTGAGGCCGAGGAGACAGCTGGGGGTCATCAGATGATGGAATGCTTTGAATGTTGTGACAAGGGGTTTGGACTTTGTCCAGCAGGAGAGAGCCACTGAGAGTTATAAATAAGTACTGCAAGACTGGACTTGGGATTTTAAAAGTTTCCTCTGCTAGTTGCATAGGGAATAGGTGGAGGAGGTGAGATGGGAAGCAAAGAAGTGAGTCTGGAAGGTTTTTCAATAGTTTAGAGAAGTGAAAACGGCAGAGGATGTATTCAGGAGAGGTAGAAATGGGTCTCGCTGATCCCTGTATACATGGGGGCAGAGGAGGAAGGGAGGGGATTCTATGAACTCAGGGGAAGAAATAGCTTTAGAAAAGCAGATGAATTCAGTCTAAGGTAGATTCAGGTAGAGGTGCCCAGAGGGCAGTTAAGGATTGAAGTCTAGAATCTGAGGGGAAGGTTTGGGCCAGAGTTAGATTAGGAGCAGTGGAGGACACCTTAACTCCATTCAAGCTGAAATTTGTCCTTTCAACACTAAGATTACCCCTGAATTCTCCTTTCTCTCCCCTTTGTCCTTACATTTTCACATGAACAGCAGCAAAGCGACCCAGGGAGGAACACACCCACATGCACAAGTCCACAGATGACAGAGGAACACATACATGCATCTGAAGGTGACAGAGGTCTAAAAATGCATACTCACGCCCATGCATGTAAATATACCTACAGAGGCCACACAGGCATGCTTTTCTGAAGAGAAGGAGGCGTGCTTTCTAGCTATTAATATATAGTGGGGTCTCTTCATCTAGCTGATGACCCTTGGCTGCTAGAAGGAGCAGGCCCACCTGGTTGTGGAGACTCCCTCTACAATTCATTCATGTAAAACATTGCAAGAGGACATCTAAAGCCTTCACTGAGCTGTTATTCCACGTTCCACACATTTGTAATCCATTTCCAGGTAAGCCACTGTAAACTGAGAATAACTCCTCCTAGCTACAAGTAGGTGATCCAACCGCCTGCAGTTAAACACACATCCACTGCAGCACTGAACTCTCCTACCGAAAAGCTTCTGCAGGACTTGTCCATCATATAAATCTTCAGCCAGGTCTTTCACAATGATTCTTTCTCCAACCAACACATCATTAATCCAGTCAATTAATACCTACACAGAGAGAGGGAACGAGCAATAATAAGAAAGAGTTATGGTTTATTTTCTTACAGACCAGCTTTCTTATCCTAAACAATTAAAATCTAAATGAACTTTAGATTTTAAGTTTCATTTTATTTGAGATAGGGTCTCACTATGTTGCCTAGGCTGGACTCAAACTCCTGGGCTCAAGTGATCTTCCCGCCTCAGCCACCTGTGTAGCTGAGATTATGGGAGTGTTCCATTGTGCCCTGCTTTGAACTTCAGATTTCAAAAGCAGAAGAACTATCCACACCAGTGTGTGCACAGGTAGCTGCCAGTGTGAGCCCTACTGGCCTTCTTAATTTTCAGATGTACATCCTGCTAGTGCTGGTGGCACCAGTGTCCCTGTTAATATCTATGTCCCCTATTATTCCTTACTCTAATGGCAAGCAACATTCACAGTGTATAGCCATGAAAAGGTGGTTCACACCGGTAACCCCAACACTTTGGAAGGTCGCGGCAGGCAGATCACTTGAGGTCAGGAGTTTGAGACCAGCCTGGCCAACACGGTGAAACCCCGTCTCTACTAAAACTACAAAGATTAGTCAGGCATGGTGATAGGTGCCTGTAATCCCAGATACTCGGGTGTCTGAGGTAGGAGAATTGCTTGAACAGGGAGGTCGAGGCTGCAGTAAGCCAAGATCGTGCCACTGCACTCCAGCCTGGGCAACAGAGTGAGACACTACCTCAAAAAAAAAAAAAAAAAAAGAGTTAAGTATACAGTGATGAGTTTTGGTCATTGTGCACTGTAGTTTAACCCCCACCACAACTGAGATACAGAACAGTTCCCTCCCCCGTAAGATGCTTCCGTAGGCCCCTTTGTACTCAATCTTCCTCCCTGATCACAGGCCTGGGGGAACCACTACAGTTTTGACATTTCTCCAATTTCTTATAAGTGGACATCATCCTTTGTGTTGGATGTCTTTGCCTTAGCATAAATATGCTGCCTTTATAACACAGCAATAGCCAGACAGCATTGCCATCCCTGGGTGGGCTGATGTTGGAGCCTGGAGGCTTTACAGGACATTGTTCCACTGTCCCAAGACAGGAAGATAGCAACTGTAACACCTACTGTATACCAGGCACTGCACTGTATCCAGTAGAGTAAGTCCCCACCTCTGTCTTAGAGAGGCTTATGGGGGCAGAAAACCGGTCAACCAAAGGATTATAACATAAAGGGTTCAAATCCTAGGGTGGGAAGGACATGGTGCTATGAGAGAGTAGAGGAGAGGCCCTAACAGGCTGGGAGTGGGCAGGAGAGATCAGGAATGAGGGGAGGCTTCCAGAAAGCCTTGTGTTTGAGGAGACTTTTTTTTTTCAGGTAGGGTCTTGCTATGTTGCCTAGGCTGGAGTGCAGTGGCTATTCACAGGTACAATCATAGTCCACTATAGCTTCGAACTTCTGTCCTCAAACCTTCATCTGAAAGTAGCTGGCACTACAGATACATGCCACTGTGCCCAGCTCCTAAGGAGACTCTTAAAAGAATACTAGGAGTTGACCAGAAAGAGTAGGATTTCAAGGTGGTCAAATCAGCCTAGATCTAGAAAATTGAACCTCCCTCTGGAAGTACGGAGATAGCTATAAAGTGATCCGTGTGTTTGGACAGCACTCCAGGGCCCATGCCTATGTGCATCTCCAATCCTCCACTCCCTCAAACAGGGCCCGAGTGCAGATTTAGGTCTGGGAGATCAACACTGAAGACGGAACCATTTGGAGCCCATTCTGACCTTGTGCTTATCCTCAGGGGTCTCCTGAGCAAGCAGTAGCTTACCCATTCTAGCATGGTGAATGCCCTCTGATAGGAGCAAGCCCAGGGTTAGACCCTTTCCCCCTACCCTTGCCCATACAGGCCCAGCACCCCGGAGAGGTGCAGCAGCAGGCAGAGCCTGCACCTCAACTGTTCCATCTTCTTCCTGCACAGCAAGGCGAGGGCTTAGGGTCTCACTGGGCAGGGGCAGTCACCTGTGGGTGCAGCACAGACTGCATCAGGAAAGGCCAGATACCCAACATGCATAGCTCAACTGCCTGTGGGGCTCTGGTTGTGATCCAGGGGAGTAAGAGGCTGCATGGCGGCCTAGCCAAGGCTGCCTCCTTTCTCTTGAACTCTGGGGTCAGGGTACAGACTCAGGGCACAGACTCCCTTCAGCAGACAGAAGGGACATTTATACATCTCCTCTGAGATGACTGCCCTCAGTCCTCTAGTCCCTAGTGAGATGGCCCAACCCTCACCTGGGTTTGATTTTACTTCTGAATACTCCTGGCTGACTTTGAAATTCCTACCCATTCATCCACCCACCCTTCCTCCTCCTTCCTTTCCTCCATCCATCTTCCAATGTTTATTAAATACCTGCTATATGTGATATTCTGTGCTGGGTCCTTGGGGTACAATGATAGAAAAAAAAGACAGTTTCTAACCCCAAAAAGTTCACCATTTAGTGAAAGAGACAGAGAAGTCTGCTATAATATTACGTGGAGATGACAACAGAACTAAGGACAGGGCCATAGCAGCCACGGAGGGGCTGAGCCATGGCACTAGAGTTCAGAGCAAGCTTCCTGGAGCAAGTAGCCGTGCTGAGACTTTCAGATGAAGGGCATGAGAGGCATTGTAGTCAGAGTGGACTGCATTAGCCAGGCTTTGGCAGTGGGGAGTTTTGGGAGCACGCATGGGCTGCTGGGAGGAGCAGTTCTGGCATCCCTGTGTTGCCGGGTAGTGGTTAATCTGAGGTTTGAAGAGGCAGCTAGAGCAAGGACGCTAAACACCACCTCTAGGAGTGGACTACAACCTGAGGTGGACAGGAAACTCTGACAGATCTTGCACAGGGGAACCGCGTATTCAGATTTGCATGGGGAATGAATCACTCTGACATCCAGTGCTTTTTTTTTTTTTTTTTTTTGAGACAGGGCCAGGCTGGAGTGCAGTGGCGTGATCATAGCTCACTGCAACCTCTGCCTCCCAGATTCAAGCCATCCTCCCACCTCAGCCTCCTGAGTAGCTGGGACTACAGGCATGCGGCACCACACTTTGCTAATTTTTGTATTTTTAGTAGAGATGGTGTTTCACCACGTTGCCCAGGCTGGTCTCAAACTCCTGAGCTCAAGTGATCCACCCGCCTTGGCCTCTGCAGAGTGCTGGGATGACAGGTGTGAGTGCCTTTTGTCTTAAGTGCAGCCTGGTTAAGCTGAAGAGGAGGAACATAGGGCAGGGAATAAGATGCAGGTGAGAAACAGTTTTGGAAGGACAAGCACACACCAGCCACTGCGCAGGTACATTATGCACAATATGTCACTTCACCTCCTTCATTTCTGCTTGAATTCCGTCTCCTTGTTTATGATCATAAACAAACCTTTTGGCTTTTCTGAGACTTGGTTTTGTCATCTGGAAAACAGGGATGAGACTAATTCCTACTTTACTGCCTGCTTTTGAAGGTCCTTGAGAAAATAAGCATTTTGTGCACTCTGGAATGCTGGCCATCGTGAGCTTACCTGTACTGAACTGTCTGGTGCTGTGACCAGCACCACTCACTGGGCATTTGTCACGTCCCACGCTTACATAATTGGTTACTTTTTCGATGGCCATCTCCTAGACCACCCACTGCCTGAGGCAGGGGCTGCCATGACTTTCTACCTTCACGGAGGGGCTCGTGGGGTGCCTGCACAGAGCAGGTGGCATATGGACACCTGGTGGGTCTGTGAGGCACCTGAAGCCGCTCCTGATTTCTTCTTACCTTCATCAGTTCTTGAAGCTTGGGGTCACTGCGTGAGTTTGGATCCACCATTGTTCGCACCTCATTCTCCTCTTTAAAAAGAAAAGGAATTCAGTGGGGGTGCTGGCACGAGAAAGCTTAAGCGAATTCAGAGACAAGAGCACAGTTACCCAGCATCGTGTCCTCGGGGTCCAGCTCGAAGGGAATCGGGCTGAGGGGCAGGTTAATGGCGTTCATTCCCTCCTCCTGCAGCTCGGACACTGGAAGAAAAGGAAGAGCAGGGTCACATTTCAGCTGACAGACGGCAGGGGGTCGGAACTCTTTAACAAGGGTGTTAGATATTGACATTGAGAAAAAAACCCACTAAGGGTAGATTACAGCTGTTACTCAGCCTACGATCAATTCATGGCGTCGCCTGGCTGAAAGGACCTAATTGTCCCCTTAATCTCACCTCTGCCAGCTGTCACTTCACTTGCCTTCCTCAGGGAAGCAGTGAGGTCTCAAAAGCACAGAAATCTCCCTCCTCTCAGAAAAGATTTCGGAATAAATGGAAGTGAGGTGGGCGCTGGCTTCTTTCTGAGTCTCTGCCTCCTGCTTGTCCCTTCTTCCTGTCTGGTGCCCAGTGACTGTTTGCTGACAGGATGAACGGGGTCATGGGTTTGAGGCTATATGTACGTTGTAAAGCATTTCCATCCTCACTTCCACCCTCCTCTGACTTCTCACCTCTCCTGGCTTCCCTGAGGTACTCTCCTGATTATCTGCCTTCCCACCTCCATCCAACCCCAGCCACCGCTCAAAAATACCTCAGTCCTGGCCCTCCCCTGAGCTCTGGTCCTGTCCCTTGAGATGGAACCAGCTGTGGGACCTGGGGCCAGGCACTTCATCTCTCTTGGCCCACTTCCTCAGCTGAAAATAAGAGTTTGACTGGATGAACAGTAAACTTTTACAGTCTTCGAATCCTAGAAATCTATAATTCTACCTTCCTCAGAAAGAAAAACAAAAACAGGTAAAAACTACCAAAGATTACCAGCCCAAGCTCCTCCAAGTGCCCAGCCCCCATATGGAGCCTTAGTACAGAAAAATTCCTCCCACAAAACCAGTTGTGTGACAGACATTTGGTGAGTGCTGACCTTGGATTACCCCTCCTAAAAGCAGTGACTTAAATCCCCTTGCTTTTCGCCAATTAAGCACAGAAAGGCCATTTTCTCAGAGGCGTTGGTCACCAAGAGGTTCTTAAAGAGCTAATACAGCAGCTGCAATCAACCTTAATAAAAGCAACGTCCCATCTTTCCATTTTATTTTTTTTATTGACTCTGGCCTCACCAACTGCCAGCATAGACTTGCAAGAAATTCTAAGCACAAGGCAGCCACTTACAAAGAGTTCTTTCACATCAGTACATGCACTGATAGCTGCAGCTGGACTGAAAGGAGAATGAGGAACAAAGGGAGTGAAACACACTACGCCCTAAGAGACACAACTTGCATGGCAAGGCTGGTATTTAGTACCTTTGCAGCGGGCCTTTGACATTCACATAGGGTACCAGCCAGTCACCACCTTGAATCTCCACATTCATAGACACCTACCATTTCATAGAATTCTCCATAAAACATGACAGAAACACAGAAACACTTCAAAGCTTAAATCAAACTTGTCCAACCCACAGCTCACGGGCTGCAATGTGGCCCAGGATGGCTTTAAATGCAGCCCGACGCAAATTCATAAACTTTCTTAAAACATTATGAGATTATCTGGAGATTTTTTTTTTAATAGTTCATCAGCTATCATTAGTGTTTAGTACATTTTATGTGTGGCCTAGGACAATCCTCTTTCCAATGTGGCCCAGGGAAGCCAAAAGAAATGATTCTGTAGGTACAGATTGTGTTTGTTTTCCAGTTAAGCACAACTGCTTCCTTAGACTTCTATAGTTTCTTCTAATATCTCCCCTAGAACTACGAATTTCCTTTCTTTCCCAGGCTATTTCTCACAAAGAAGCACCGTTTTCATTACTTTGTTAACAAGCATTGCTGTGCATGCAGTAAGCAGTGGAAATAAAGTCATGTTTAAACGTGGCTGCAAGGCTAGGCTTACTGGCCAGTGAAAGAACTTGCTCCTGCCTGGGAATTTCTCTCCTATAGCTACACTGATCTGCACTGTCCAATACAGTAGCTACTAGCCACTTGAGCTATTTAAATTTCAATGAATTAAAAATTCCGTTCCTTAGCGGCACCACCTACATTTCAAGCACTCAATGGCTACAGGTGGCTGGTACCTACAATACTGGACAGCATGGATGTAGAAAGTTTCCATCACAAGGTCGTCAAGTGTGTTCTCATGATTTAAGTGAGGACATGCCATATTTGATTTTCTGCTCCTGTGTTAGTTTGCTAAGGATAATGGCCTCCAGCTCCATCCATGTCCCTGCAAAACACATGATCCTGTTCTTTTTTTTTCATGGCTGCATAGTGCTCCATGGTGTATATGTACCACATTTTCTTTATCCAGTCTATAGTTGATGGGAAAATAATCCATACAACAAACCCCCGGGACACAAGTTTGCCTATGTAACAAACATGTACCCCTGAACTTAAAGTTAAAAAATAAAAGTTTTTAAAGAGATTAAGTGGATAATGTTGTCCTAGGTCATCCCATTCAACTAATGTCTATGTCCACATTTAAATCTCCAACCCGGGTCTGACTCTGAGCTCTAAGCTTATGAATCTAATTGCTTATTCAATGTATCCTCTTAATTCTATTTGTAGAGATCTCAAATGTACACATCCAAACAGAACTTGTGATTCTCAACACCCTCATACCCACCATACCAGCACTAAAATGAACCTGTTCTTGATTCTTATCCTCCTCAGTAGATGGCACCACTATTTACACCATGGTTCACGCCAAGCTCCGAGGAATCGCTCTTAAGTTCTCATTTTCCTCACTTTTTACATCCGTCCAAAACACTGGCAAGTTTTGTGGGCTCCGCCTCCAAACCAGGACCCAATTCCCCACTTCTCACCATCTCCCCACTCCACCATCCTGACTTGAGTCACCGTTATCTTTCACCTGGTCTATCAGAACCACCTTCTGACGGCTCTACTGCTTTGCTTGCATTTCCCCCACTCTCACCTACTTCCCACAGTGCAGCCAGAATGTTCTATAAAAATGTAAATAGGATCATACATTCTCCCACTTGAAGCTTTCTTGTGACGTCCCATCATACTCAGGTCATAGGTAGGAGTTGAGATTTTACTCTATCAGACTTTGATTAGCGCCCCCCACCTCTCTCTCATGTTTTATTTTCTCATCATGATCTGAAATAATAATGTATATGTCTGTTAACTCTCTCCCCCACCAGAATGTAAGTTTTGTAAGGACTGGCACTATTTCTCTTTTGTTCACTATTAGATCCTCGATGAGGCCAGAGGGTACAGTGGTTAGAAGCCAGGCTGCCTACGTTCACATCCAGACTCTACCATCCACCAGCTCTGTGGCCTTGGGCAAATTCCTCAACCTCTCATGCCTTAGACTTCTCATCTGCAAAATGGGAGTGACAGCAATATTGCCGACCTCCAAGGGTTGCTGAGAAGATTAAATGAGTTAATATATGCAAAGTACCCAGAAGCATGCGTGGCAGATGGTAAGAGCTAGGTAAATATATGCAGCTATTATTACTACTTAAAACAACATCTCAAGCATTGTAAGCACTCAAGAAATATTTGTTGAATACATAATTCAAACTGTCAAGACTACCCTTCAACTGCACAGTTTATGAGTTGCGACAGAATTTGCCAAAGCAGAGTATGGGATGCAAAGGATTTTACCTTTTTCCCAGAAAAACAAAATACATTTACATTTTAGCCTGTGTGTGTGCACGTGTGCATGCGCACGCACGCACATTTCTGGGGCAGCATTTCCAGCTTACATTTTGTAAGGGAAGTAAAGTCACATCTGTCCCAAGACTTGTTGTACAGCCAAAGTGAGCCAATTTGTAAATAGAGAGGTATTGAAACATCTCTAAAGTGTGACTAGCAACGCAATATTTGAAGCCAGGACTCCTAAAGGTGGATCTGAACAGGATCTCTTTTTCTGCGTAGATCACTGTTAAAAATGTTTTCAGATGAAAAATCCCCAGTCAGAAACATTCCCCTCTGCCCTGCCTCTTTAATTCACTCACAGAGACATAACAAATCCAAGAAGAAAGGCCAAGATATGTTTGCAATTGGAAATGTTTTTTTCAGGAAACGATTTGGTACAGGAACATCATTCCCATTCCATTAACTGCTGACTCTGAGCCAACTGTTTGTAAAAGTGAATATGCAAACTGCCCAGTGCAGGCCTGGCCCCTGCCCCATGGGGCCCCATTAGTGGCCACTTTCCCAAAACAGCCCTCCTGCTTTGGAGGTTTCATTTCTATTAAACCAAAGCAGGACCCAGCAGAAGCCCCTTGCCAATCCTCAGGCACTGAAAGAGAAAGAGCCACAACCAAATTTTCTCGGCACAGAATGGGAATCTGATGTTCATCCCCTGAACTTCCTCTGACAATCTAAAACTAGGTCCGAATGTCTTGCAGCGCCATTGAGTCATAACTTAATAAACAGATCAAATGCCCAGCTGAAGGTCGGGCTAGGGAAAGCAGGGAGATTGCCTGAACCCCTGAAGTGCTCACCATGAGAAAGGGGGCTTTTGTTTCCAGGGATATGTGGTCTGACTCTGGGTCCACATGCGCAGAAGAAAGTACCTGGATGGGCTTTGGTGTATGGATTTGAACCCTACTTCTGTTTTTATCAACTGTGGAACCTTATTTAAGTAGGTTAACCTCCCTGAAATTCAGTATAAAACAATTCTGTCCATAACAAGGGTGTAGCTGACACTGGTGGTTTGTTCCCCAACATTTATCCGTTTTCCCTGCTGAAAGAACCCTCATTTTGTTCCAGTATACACCCCTCCCTCCTATGCCTCCAGGTAAAGCCACTATTGGTTTAAACAAATCATGATGATCTTGATCCCTGTAGCAGTGGTTGGCTCAAGCATCATCATGTCAATTCTGGTCAATGAACTGTGACAGAAAATTTCTAGAAGCTTCCGGAATCACTTTCCTTCATTCTAAAGAGAGACCCAAGGAAGAGAAGGCAACCTCCTCCTTCTAATCATTATTGTGCCAGGATATTATACCTGGATTTGTTGCAGCCATTTTGTAGCCATGCACTGAGTAAGCTCAAGGAAGAAGCTAGTGTGTTGAGGTTGGCAGAGAAGAAATAT